CTGTGGCTACTTTCTTCAGTTCCACTTTTCTAGCAGAAAATTGAGTTTTCTTCCCCAACAACTAGAAGCAAGTCTAAAAGTTGAAACTCTGCACTTTATTGGCCTAGAGTGGAGCATGTTTTCATTTATGAACCAGTCATTAGGTCAGGGAGATGAAATGCTCTGACTGAGCCTACCCTTGGAGCTGCTGAAGGAGAGGTAAATCCCTCTCAAATCATATGACTGAGAAATTCAAAGTACTTCTAGGAAGAAAGAAAGAATTATTAAGAAGGCAACAACAAATGTTCACACTACAATACTAAATCCAAAGTGACTGACTTGGGATTTCTATCAAAATAAAATACAGCTTCAAATAATTTGGTTTCACTTTGTATATAAGAATTTGAACTCTGAAGGAGGTTTTAGGTGAAAACGCACTTTATTTTTTATTGCTGGTTGATAATTTATTCTTATAGATATTAAATGAGGTTGTAAAATTTTCATGGTACCACCACTTGGTGTTAATAAACTAGAATAGATTCCAACAAAATCTTGTCATCAGAAGTTATATTCTTTATATATTTCTCTAAATTATCAGTTATCTATACATTCTTTGACTTGCATGTAATTTGGTTCTTGCTTCCCAAACTACATTTTATAGTGATGCCAGTAAAGACTACTTCCTACTTCATGTAATTGTACACCAGAAAAATTCCAACATCTAGTAAGGACAATTTCTTCCATTCTTAAGAATTAGAGCACTACATACATTATTATCTTTTATACTCTGTATTTCATATGTAATCAGTTTCCAGCTTTGATATCTTTTATGTCTGCCCTCTTTTCTTATTCCTTGCCATTCCAATAATTCAAATTTGAATAATTTCATACCTGGATTTCTCATGAGTCTCCTCACTGACTGTCCTGATGCAAAACTCTCCTCCCTCCAATTTATTAGAAAAAATACTTCTATACTAAAATCCCTTAAATAATTATAGCAAATATTTACCAAGGGCCTACTTTGTGCCAAGTGCTTTTTAACTCTCATGCCATTTTACTTAATCATTACACAAACTCTCTGACATAGGTATTATCCTCATTTTATAGATAAGAAAATTGAGACTTAGAAAAGTTAGTAACTTGACCAAGGTCACAAACATAAGAAGCAGCAACACTGGTATTTGAAAACAGGTCAGTCATACTTCAAAGTCTATGTTTTTCCATCACACCATGATACTACTCTATGACTTTCACGTCATGCTTGTTCTCAAAGGCGTTCCCTACTGATGCTCCTACCAAGCGTTAACGTCTCTGCATGGCTTTCAAAGCCTGCTGTAATTATATCCTACCTAAGATTTTTTCCCAGTTACTTTCAGTGTATACATCTCTCATTAGATATGTCTCTTCAGCCTCCTTCTGATAAACTGACTCATGTTTGTTATTATACACTTTAAGAAAAAATCTCGATTATAAAAATAATACATGCTACTTTAACAGTCAAGCAATATAAAAGTAACTAAGTAGACATGGAAGCCCTCCATATTTAGAGTGAGCATTAGGAATAGAATACAAGTCATAGATGTCTGGTTACACATACTACTTTAAGAAAGAAATTGTGATTTTTACATTTCAATTGGGCTGCCCTACCTGGTATCAGGACACCAGGAGCCTGAACACATTTGCAGCACTGGAGCTAAATCCAATGGGGAAGAATGGATATTTTAGAGATGGTAAAATTGGGATTTGTATCTACCAGGTGTTTTTAACATATTTGTTTAAGAACTAAAATAAGTTATAGTGAAATACACAAGTTTAGTTAGAATTAAAATCTGAGTAAATTTAATGGGAATGGAAGTCACCGACAACTAAAAAGTCTCCAAAAAAAGTCCAAGGTAGAAAGTGGAAAATAAAGTCCAAGAATTACAATAACTATGATAAAATATAATAACTATGCTTTTTTAAAAAAAAAATTTTAATTTTTATTTATTTTTTAGGCGAGGCAACCCTTGGTTGACCTCACAGATTGCAAGGACCTTGTCAGTTTACAATCCCTTATTTTTTAATATTTTACACCTACAGCACCTGGTCTTCCTAGGTGGTCTCCCATCCAAGTACTAACCAAGCCCAACCCTGTTTACCTTCCAAGATCAGACGGGATCAGGCTTCTTCAGGGTAACATAGCCATAGACTAACTCTTAACAGAATGTGACTTGATGGAAATTCTTGAGCAAGATTATTGTCAGTTAATGTTGGATGGACTTGACTGAGTAAAAACATATACAGATATGTAAAGCTCTGGCTATCCTCTCAATTACAATGAAGAGGGCCAGAGCCAAACTGCAAAGTGTGTATAATTTTATATCGCTAAACATAAAATTCTAATTAATGACTTGAGAATTATAGTAGAGTACAGGGTCATTTTTGTAGGATGGTTTTACTTTGTTTTTAACTGGTATTGATTGTACTTAATAAATATCAAAGCACTATCACATTTTATTATTTAACTTGAACCTTATAAAAACTTTCTGCAGTTGGGAGAATGGAAGTTATTTTTCCAGGCTGTTCAAAGAAGTAACAGAGATTTGGAGCAATAATTTAATTCATTGAACAAATGTCTGAGTGCCTACTATGTGCCAGTCACTGCTCTAGTTAGGGTTATATATCTTGCTAAATGCCTGAGCCAGAGTCAGAATTCTTGATCCAGAACCCACATTGCACTTATTTATGGCTGCTCTTCGGGAGGCCATTTGCATATAAAGCCCAAGATGCAAGTTGTGGTAAATGTATGCTAAGATGTACCAGAAAACATAAGCCTTTGGGGTATTAGCTATAATAGAAAGGTTTTTGTGTTTAACAAGTTGCACGTCTCATACATTTTTTATGGAGCAGGATGAACATATTTTAAAAATACTTTTGCGTATGGATTAAAGGTTTAACTTTCTTAATTACATAACCCACAGGGTGTGATGTATGTGTCAGCAACCGTGATAAAACATAATATTTTATGAAGCAATTGTAGATTTAATAGCTGTGTAGCTTGATTTCTTTGCATTCTTTAAAAAATATGTAAGCAAATAAATAAATGCTTTATATCTCAGTCATAGAGACATCAATGAGTTCAACTAGACAGGCAACTAGACAGGAGTTCAAGTTCAGCTAAAACCCCTAAGATTATTTAAAAAAAACCCAAAACTTGATTTGGTCAAATCTTATTTTGAAACATAAGTCCTGAGTGATATTTATAGTAATGTCATTTCTCGAATGTAAAATAAGTTATTTTCTAAGTTGTCTACCCAGTGGTTTTTTTTTTTTTTCACAGAAATTATTCCTATGAAGTTAGCATTAATATATTCGGTAGGTGGAAAACCAGAGGAGGGAAGGAGCAATTAGGAGGATTATTTTATAAACTATATAAATGTATAACTAATGTACAGTATACTTGTAACTAATAAAATTTTAAAAAATTAAAAATTTAAAAAATTATCTCTTTAGAATGGTTTTAAAAAACTCTGTTCTTTTGACAGGTATGCCTTCAATATGTTTAAGTTACAGTTGCCCGAGTCTCTCAACTATTTTCTCAGGGTCTACTCGGCTTGATTACTTATATTAGGTTGAAAACTCAGGCATGTGCATATATGCACATATACACTTAATACACATATATCCAGTTTCCAATTTAAAAATTTTAAAACTGTATTTATAGTTATTATTACAGGGATATTAACAATGACTTGAGAAAGTAGGGCCCGAAAAGGATGTTTTCTCATATCGATTCCCAATACGAGAAGCAAAAGGCATACGTTTGGAGGTTTTTACATGGTGCTATATAGTTTCCATAGTCCCTGTCCACGTGGCCTCCCTGCTCCGCCAGGACAAGAGCTTCGCCCTCCACATGCTGATGTGGTCAGTCTAGCCAAGGGACTCTGAAGAAAAGGCACATACCTTAGTGTCAACCTTAATGTGTCTGCTCTGTCCTTGAATCACGGTTATTGGCTTAATGGGTCAGGGCAGATACAGTCTTACAGACCCTACAGTAGAAACAGGACACCAGCAATGGATACATCATAAACAAAACAGTCAAGGCCGCACCACCACAGGGTTTCTTTCTGAGTGGCAAGGAGTCTAAGGTAAGGCCAAGAAGAAGCGGATCTTCATTTCGATTTATGGTAGGTGACATCTCAAAGGTGTTTCTTCCCTTCTTCCATAACCGGTTGGGAAACCTTGGTCGGTTACTTGGGCTAGCCAACTCTAAATGGCAATAGAAGTGACACTCTCAGATGAAACACTGAGCCCATGCTGTTAATGGTCGACCTCTAAATTCATATCGCTTAGCCCTGCGCTCCACTTGGAAAGTCCTGAAACCACTGGGCCTTAATCCATTCCGGCAACAGCGCCAATTCGTGGAAGCCAAAGAAACAGCAAAGCATCGGAGCGCGGGTTCCCGCCTCTTCCAGGCCGCGCGCTAAAATCAAACTCGACGCCAGCTGGTTGGGGGCCGGGCCGCACGCTCCGCTCCCTCAGCGGGCCAAGCCGCGGCCG